AGTCTCTTTAAAGCAACAGAGATATGACTCACACAATAGAACTTTTTTCATTTTCTTTTGAAAATCGCATCATGTGGTGGGAAAAAAATTCTAGTCAAGAAACTCATCTAAGGTTTTTCTGAACACTGGTAATCCATCAAGCTTTATTCATGAACAGGCCAAAACCTGGGCTATAATATCAAATGTGCCAAAAGACTGCTTTTTTCTCACAACCATACAAAACATTCTTTCCCATTTTCGACATAGACACATGAGGTCATTAAAGCTATTTTGAATCTTGCAGCCTATTAAATTCCAATTGCACATATTATATCTAACGTTAAATATTTGAATTAGTATTGAAATTAAATAGGTCTACAAATGTAGTATATTGCTAACCATATTTAGGAAGCTTAAAACAAAATAGCAAGACAGAGAAAGATCTATTCCACCATAAAAATCCATTGTTTTTCCATTTCTATTCACATAGCCTCAAGGGAAAAACTACTACAAGTATAATCAAGTATAAATGAAAAGCAAAACTGAAATAGTAATTTTTACATTTTGACAGCTGATAGCTTGTAATAAAAAAGATAATAACATTAGCTATGAGCTTGTTCATCCATGATTAATATTTCACAAGTGGAACTATATATCTGTATATAGTTATATATATATGTGTATATTTGATATTTATCAAATAAATAAATAAATAAATGGCATTGGTCAACTTGACCTTTGTTGTTGCATCTCTGTTCCTAGGGTAAGTGACTTTGAAGTTCTCTCAAACACATCTTTAAAATGAGGGCTCACTGAGTATTGTAGTTAAGGATGTATAATCTGGAAACAGATGTCTGAGTTTGGACTTTGACTCCACTACCAGCTCACTCTGAGCTTAAGCAAATTTTTCATAACACTGGTCCTCGGTTTTCCAATGCATCCTAAGATAGTCTGGCAGCTAGACATATATGTACATACTGATACAAATGACACTAGACCAAGAGCCATGGTTTCGATATGAAGTATGTCCCCCAAATCTCATGTGTTAAAGCCATGGTCCACAGATTGTGGATCCAGTCATCAAAATAAGGATTCTTGCATAATCAGTGATTACCCACTGGTGAATTCATAGCTCTATAGCAACATTTCAATGGGCAGAGACTTTCAGAGATGGTGCCGACATGGAGGAAGGAGGTCACTGAGGATCTTGTCTAAAGTGTTTTCATTCACTCTCTCCATCAACATCCTCCTCTCCCTTCTTCTTCCCCTCCCTCCCTCCTTTCTGTTCTCCTCTTTCTTTGCAGAATTTAACTTCTCAGTTGGACTACTTCTTTCCTGCCATGATACCCTGCTTCACAACTGCCCTGGAGGCAGAGGCACCAGATTGAGTATCTCCCAAGCATCTAAGATTATAAGCCAAAGACTAAATCTTCCCTTCTTTAAACCTTCTTTCTCAGGTATTTCTCATAGCAATGAGAAACCTGACTAACACAATGCCTTGCTTAGGAACGTACATGGCCAAATGCCTCGCCCTCAAATGCCCCATAACAGCAAAATATGTACTACAATAGGAACAAACAAATTAGGACAATACATTGGTCTAAATTCAATGCTTATGAATGACCAAGACCACATGCCCCATAACAGCAAAACACATAGTACAATGAGAACAAACCAATTACAATATGTTGCTATAAAATCACCCAACTGGATATTATTCAGTGACATCAATGAATAAGCTACAGTTGTATGCATGAAAACTGGTTGAGTCTCAAAATAAACTTTCAATAAATTAAGTGTGAGAAGAATTTACACTATTGGGTTTTACTTACATCAGCTTCAAAGAGAAGCACAGCTCAAGAGTTTATCCTGCAACACACACAGAGATGGAAAAACTAAGGCTAACAAGGTGATTATCTGAATGAAACTCAGGAAAGAAGTTGGTTCCAGAGCTAGGAACGGAACAAGGCTATGTGGAAGACACACAAAACGGTTTATAAAATGTTTACTTTAAATTAGTACTATGAGAAGGGTGTTTATTTTCTGGTCTGCTTATAAAATATACATATTTTTGTCCCTATATTAATTAATATTTATAGCAACTAAAGACCATATTTGAGAAGATAAGTTTGACAACAGTGTCTAACTTTTTGATTAAAGATGGGAAGCATAATGATGATGTCATGTCATGCAGATGTTAGAAGAAAGCACAAAGCACATATCTGTTTATGCCATTGTGTTCTGAGACTTCTGGGATTGTACATAAAATCTACAGTCTTGTTACAGAATCCATCTTGCTGTGTTTCAAGATTTAGTCATTCAAGGGAAAGTACAAAAAAAAAAAGATACATGGATCTTCAGTCACAACTAAGATAACCCTCTAAGGAAAAGAATGATCAACTCATAGCTATACCTCAGTATAAAAATAACAGACCAGATCAAATGCCTACTTCAGCATATCCTGAAAGAACAGGGGTATAGAATTTATAAAGTGTCATAACACTGCTTCCCTCCATGATTTACTTAGAGAGGAAGAAGCAGTGTTTAGGAAACTCAGGTTGCTTATCATAGGAAAGAAGGGAGTTGGCAGAGTCAGCAGTGAATTGAAGTTTAAGTTATAGAAGCTATAGAAACTGTTCAGCAATTGGCATTGACCAGGTAGAGGAAAAAAAAAGACAGTGGATGGGAGTGGAAGTGAAGTGGTAGATAAGCATTGGCACTCCCACACCAGATTAGCCTTTCAGGACAGCCACAGTTACAGTCCTCAGGAGCTCCACAAGAAAAAAGGCCAAACAGACCGTTTCTGGAGTAATATTTTAAAGAAACACCTTTTGGGCCAAGCTTCTGGGAAGAACAGAAGCCCAGCTAACATTGAATAGAAAATAACAGTCCCACCCTCATCTCCATCTAGTATATTAGATGGGCATATAGTTGGAAAAATGATGGAAATCATTTAAATAAACTCTATTTGCCCTGTCAAGCCAAGAGGGACAATTATTTCTTCAAAAGAAAAATGGACCAACCAGAAATGTCTCTGTGCAGACTAATCCCCAGAACCCTTATGTCACAGGGACAATTAAATAGAAGCCTGGAAAGAACCTTTATTTCAGGTTCTTATCAGCTTCAGCCAGCTGATAGAGAAAGTGGGTCTTACGGGTGAACTCTTGAACCAGGAAAGAATCCATGCAAAGTTTCTGTCAGGTGCTGTGACCTGAAAATGTGTTTCCATTCCTTGGCTTATCTTTATGACTGAAAAATGACTGCCTCTTATTTGCTCTATATGCTTGGAAACTAGTTATATTGTTGAGACTGTCACAAACAAGAGGTTACCTTCCTAGGGAAAAAAAATTAACCTCCCAGGTACAAGGTTCAATTAAAGGAAGAGAAATTTGGATTGTCACACTCTCTTCCTTTTGCCTAACTTCCAGAGGGTCTGTAACCCTATTTAACAAGTAGAATGGCTTCTGAGGGCTAGCTTGGTAGAACACGCCTTCAAATCCCAGCATTTAGGAGGCAGAAGCAGATCTCTGAGAGTTTAGTTCAAATCTGATCTACATAGTGAGTTCCAGATCAGCCAGGACTACATAGTGAGATGCTGAAGAAAAAGGAGGAGGAGCAGGAAAAGGAAGAAAAGAAAAAGAAGGGGATAAGGACGAGGAAGGGAAAGAAAGAAGAAGAAGAGGAAAGAGGAGGAGGGAAGGTAATTCTAGACTAAAACTTCGACTTTCTCTAGCATTTGTGTCCTCGTCTATTGCTGCTCCATAGTATTGGCGGTGCCATTACAAGAAGCCATAACCTCATAAAGCAGCCACTTGTCACCATTGCCAGTCACTTAGTGAGTGAGCTTCATTAGAAATGTCCAATTTAAAAGAAGGGGGAAAAAAGAAATTTCCAATTAAATATAATCCCTTTGTGAATTTCTAAATCATAAATCTGTTTTATTTTCTTCTTTGTACATAAAAAAGTTAAGTTGTGATTGAGGCATATTACGTTGTTTCTCTAAAAAAATGATTTGATGTGCAAAGCCAAGTTCAAGTTTCTAAAGGTTTAAGTCCTGCAGGCCTGTGACCAAGCTGTATGGTATGACTTGCTGTAGCTTGATTAGGTAATAATTTCAGAGATTATCAGTGCAAAGGGCGACTCATTACCTACAAATGACCAAGCAATATACATAGACAAATAATAGAACAATTATCAGAAAACTTCCTGCTCAGATAATTTATTAACAAAAATACTGAAGTAAGTGCCCACTGTGCCTAGAGGAGATATTTAATAAACAGAACATTCAGATTCATATCGTAGAGGGGAAGGCAATGGTTTATTCAAAAGGTGGTATATCAGAACAAAAGTAAAATTGGTTTTCATATTAATTATACGCAGGTGATTATGACACACACCTTCAATCCCAACACTCGGGAGGCAAAGACAGGCTGAATCTGAATTTGAGGCTAGCCTGGTCTACAGAGCAAGTTCTAGGAAAGCTATGACTACACAGAGAAGCCCTGCCTCAAGAAAATTTAAAAAAGAAGGAAGGAAGGAAGGAAGGAAGGAAGGAAGGAAGGAAGGAAGGAAGGAAGGAAGGAAGGAAGGAAGGAAGGAAGGAGAAAGAAAGGAAGGAGAAAGAAAGAAAGAAAGAAAGAAAGAAAGAAAGAAAGAAAGAAAGAAAGAAAGAGTGAAAAAAGAGAAAAAGAAAGAAAATTAAACAAGTTAAGGAGAAAAGCAAAAGTACCTAACAGGGATTATGTCTCAGACAAAGTTACATCTGCCTTTTGGACATCTGAAATTACCTTAGTTGAAGTAATTTGAAAAGATATGACATCATAGTCAGAAAACCTCCAGGTTTTCTGATCTCCAGGTTTTTGGTTGATTTGTTTCCTTGTTTTATTTAACTTTCTCTTTAATTTAAGCCATCAGGCTGTTTTGTTTCTTAGACATTGACCTATCAATAAATGAATTCCTTTATCTAAGATATAAAATGCCTTACCGAAGAGCATACATGCCTATTCTGTCTAAATGCACATGGCCAAAAGACGTTCACTGTGAAACTATGATCAACAAAGATGTCATGTGGAAATTGCCCCTGGATACCATATCCTGGTACCAATCTCTAGCATGATTTGGAGACCAGAATATTCAGTCAGTCATCTGCTACAGAGAAACTGCAGGTGCAGCTGGAGGACTGGGTGGAGGATGTCAAAGCAGGAGAAAGCAGCTTTATGTCAACCTCCTAAGGTCCTTGATGTGGAAGGAACAATCACTTACACACACACAAATGATCATTGTGATTCCCGACTACAAGGACCTGCGGTGTGGGAAAGGAAGTTCTGCATGGAATTTGAAAGCTGGATTTACAAGGTAAGAGATCTAAGAGCTTCAAGTGGAGAGGGTTTCCAGCATTTCAGAGAAATATGTTTTGTTTGTTTTCAGTCTAGACTGAGAGTACAAATGCCTTGGAAATATACTTGAAGCCAAAGACACCCCAGGGCTGTTTTCTTTTTCCTCACAGAGCCCTGGGTTAGGCTGTATAGGTGGTACCTATAAGAGTTCACCTGTAGCAATAATGATGCCTCTCATGTTCTCCATGTCCAATCAGCAATCTAGGTAATTGCCACTATTTTCCTTGAATGTCCTCCACAGTTCCCATACTGTGTTCTCACTATTAGATGTTTACCATTTAGTCCTGAGCAAGTGCTACTTAGCTGCCAGCTATCTCTGAGATATATTCAGTATTGCTTTCTGGAGACAGAGTTTGAGCACAGGCCTACTCTGTCCAAAATTTTTGATGGCCTCCGATAGATGTTCAGTTTAAATGCGGGCTATTCTTTTATTGGTTCTGATTTTTAAAAATCATTATCTTGTAATTAGTGAAAGTTTAAAAAAAATCATTATCTTGATTCAAAACCTGCCTTTGAAAAATAAAATTATGTCATTTTCAGGGAAATAGATATAATGAGAAATCACCTTACAGAAATCATCCAGATTCAGAAACACCAATATCACATTTTGTCTCATACGTGTCTCATAGATTTTGCATACATTTTTTTAAAGTAGCCAGTCTTTGCTACCTGCCAACTTGGGAAATTTTCTTAACCTCTTTCATCCTGAATTTCCTTATCTAATAGAAAGAATAACAAAAATCCCTCATGAACTTACTGTTAAGATTAAATGACAGATTCCAAAAAATTGAGAACCATGCCTGTGTCACAGTAACTTTGGGATGTTATTGTTTGACCAAGCTGTTATCACTAGCTATGAAGGTGTACCACAATCTACCCTTCATGCTCCCCAGCTGTCTGTCTTGTTTCTGGCTCGTCAATAACCTCAATTCTTGTATATGAATTGAGATGGCAGTCCCATACACCAAAAGATTCATATACTTATCTTTAACAACTTCAAAATATCCGTCCTGGTATCCTCATTTTCTAGATAATGAGACTCAGACTCAACAAAGTTAAGAAACCTGGTATAAGGAGCTGAACTTATAAGTAGCGGTGAAAAGGCTGAAATCAGTACCCAAAACTCCAACTATATTCTTCCAACAATATGACACCTTTATGCCAACCGATTCCTAAATGTTTCCATTAAAGCACTTTAGTAACACATGCTTTTCCTGAACCTTGGAACCTCTACGTTCAGACGAAGAATCTGTGCCCCTCCTGAACCTCAACAGGACTTTACAAGCACCTAGGCTAACTGATTCTAGCACAAGCAAAGTTATACAACTACCAGATCTAGGTTACAAATGGTAACACAAGGGTTATAAATAGCTCAGTCTTTTGAAGCTGCCCTCTAGGCAGCAAATATAAGAAATACTCTCCTTGTGGATTTGGGGAGTGGCATGCATGCAAAAAGGGGAGGGAGGGTGGGATCGGCAGGGGAGGAGGGAGGGGCTTATGGGGGGATACAAAATGAATAAAGTGTAATTAATAAAAAATTAAAAAATTAAAAAATTTAAAAAAATAAAAAAAAAGAAATACTACCTGAAGGTGTTATGCTTGAGAAATCAGTAAAGAGATCACATCAAGAGAGAGAGGCATAAAGAGGTCCAGCTGCTCAGACAGCCTTTAAGCAACCCCAACAGGCACTTTGTGGAACAGAGAGGAGCTATCTCAGTCAAGTCCCGTCCACATTGCAAAACTCCATGAGATATGCAAATTATCCTTGTTATTTAAGTCAAGAAATATTGAGTGTTTTGTTTCTCAATTATGAAATCCAGAAAGGTTGTAGAAATCTTTAATGTCAATTAATCATTTTAATTCCCCCTAATAATAGGCCTTCCACAGTCGTCAATTGTACAGCCATCTCTACCTAGAGGTCATCACCAACTAGCATATACAAGCCTTCACCTAAAGAGCTATGTGTTAAAAATAAACAAATAAATAAAAATAAAAATAAAAAAGAGCTGTGAGCTGACCTAAATCATTGTGAATGCCACAGAGTCAATCACCTTTCCTTAAGTCTATACCTGGGTTCTTAAGAACTCAAATGCGAGCTCATTTATTCTTTGTTTCCCACTAAGCTCTGCTACTTCATCTGTCTAGACCTCTGTCTCATCTGAACGGAGTTACAGTGAAATCTCCAGTTTAGCCTCAATGCAGAAATGTACATACAAATCCAATGAAAGCTCTTAGTTTTTGAATTAATTGTTTTCACAATGAGGAGACAAAAATATTAAGAGGAGTAACATGAAGGAGAAGGATTTGTTTCAGCTCATGGTTTCTGAGAATTCAGTCCATCCTTGTGGGAAGGCATGGTAGAGCCACTCAGCTCATACCATGGCAGGCAGAAACAGCAGCTGCAGACCACCAGGAAGAAGATGCATCTCACTGATCCACTTTCTCAGGCTAAGCTCCACTCCCAAAGCCCACAGACACTCCCCCAAATAATGCCACCAACTGAAGACTAAGTGCTCAAAACATGAGTCTATGGGTACACATTGGCTCAAATGGTAACACATTTAACAAGAGCTTTGGTTGTGTTGTGGTATGTGTTGAAATACTGATTATATTGCACAATAAATATTTATTTCTGTTTCCTCAAGTGAACTATTTAGCCTCTTTGAAGAAAAACATCAGTATATCCCTAACACCTAATGCTTAGAATATGAAAAATATGTCATTTTGAATGAATAAACAAATAGGTAAGGGATGCTGAATAAACAACTCATGCTTGTAGGAGACACCAGATAGAAGAGATCTTAGGCTCATGAGAAATTTAGTGGTGGCTGTATGCTATTGTCTACATCCTATCCTATCCAATTCTTGTCTCTGTCTTAGTGATGCTACCATACCATAGACGTATTTTCAAGACTACTTCATTCACAAAGCCACACAGCTTTGTTAGGCATCTTCACTTGAAAAGAAATGACATTTCTGTAAGTGCTTCTCTGCCATTCGATATTCCTCTGCAGAGAATTCTCTTACAGAAATGTTCAACCTCATTAGCCATTAGGGAAATGCAAATCAAAACAACCCTGAGATTTCACCTTACACCCATCAGAATGGCCAAGATGAAAATCTCAAGGGACAACACATGCTGGAGAGGTTGTGGAGAAAGGGGAACCCTTCTCCACTGCTGGTGGGAATGTAAACTGGTACAACCACTCTGGAAATCAATCTGGCGCTTTCTCAGACAACTAGGAATAGCGCTTCCTCAAGATCCAGCCATACCACTCCTAGGCATATACCCAAAAGAGGCGCAAGTACACAAAAAGGACATTTGCTCAACCATGTTTGTAGCAGCTTTATTTGTAATAGCCAGAAGCTGGAAACAACCCAGATGCCCCTCAACTGAAGAATGGATGCAGAAACTGTGGTACATCTATGCAATGGAGTATTACTCAGCAATGAAAAATAAGGAAATCATGAAATTTGCAGGTAAATGGTGGGACCTGGAAAGGATCATCCTGAGTGAGTTGTCCCAGAAGCAAAAAGACACTCACGGTATATACTCACTCATATAAACATACAATATAGAATAAACCCACTAAAATCTGTACATCTAAACAAACTAAGCAAAAGAGACGACCCTAACTAAAATGTTCAATCCCCATCCTGAAAGGCAAAGAGGATGGACATCAGAAGAAAAAGAAAATAGGAAACAACCTCGGAACCCGCTACAGAGGGCCTCTGAAAGCCAGAAGAAAACAGGAAACAACCTTGAAACCTGCTACAGAGGGCCTCTGAAAGCTTCTGCAGTATAGACTGTCAAAGCAGATGCTGAGCCTGATGGCCAACTGATGGGCAGAGTGAATGGAATTTTATGTAAGAAGTGGGAAATAGTAAGAGCTGGAGGGGACGGGAACTCCACAAGCAGAGCAACAGAACAAGATAATTTGAACACAGGGAACTTCCCAGAGACTCATACTCCAACCAAGGACTATTCGTGGAGATGACCTGGAACCCCTGCACAGGTGTAGCCCATGGCAGTTCAGTGTCCAAGTGGGTTACATAGTAATTGGGGGAGCAGCCTTACCAGGCCACAGTAGAGGACAATGCAGCCACTTTTGATGAAAACTGATAGACTAAGATCAGAAAGAAGAGGAGAACCTCCCCTATCAGTGGATTTGGGGAGTGGCATGCATGCAGAAAGGGGAGGGAGGGTGGGATCGGCAGGGGAGGAGGGAGGGGCTTATGGGGGGATACAAAATGAATAAAGTGTAATAAAAAAAATAAAAAACTAATACAAAAAAAAAAAAAGAAATGACAGTCCAAATCAGATGGCAGAACTATAAGGAAAGCAACTGCTAAAAATCTCATAAAGATCCTTTTTCTTCTTCTAGCCATTTTACAACATGTCATCTAGATGCCTGACCTTGCCAAGCAAAATCTAGTTAATCTTTACAGTGCCATTCCCTTTTATGGACTCTCTGATATGGCAGTGCCATATGGTGGCAGCGCTGGTGAGAGGACTCTGCTCTTACCTGACGAACAGGTTTGTGTTTCACTAAGCAAATAATTTGGCTCTTGCATCATCCATTCTACTTCCCCAGTGTTTTCTGCTCGATGGAAAACACACCCAAAGAAATTACTGAACAGCAGTACCACCTCTATTAATGAGATGAGAAAACAATTTCTATAGTTAAGTTTTACTTGAAGACTGTTCACATATGCACACCATTAAGGAAGCCCACTGCTATTGTAGGACAGCAGTACTATCCAAGGGCATTTGATCTCAAAGCACACACACACACACAAAAATTCCCAGGGCACCAATCAGTTCTTTAAAGATGTCCTCTTGCTTCAGCCGATTAAAATCCAACAGGTTGGCCTTAGAAACAAGGAATTTATCTCATTGTTGCTGTGATTACAGGTTGTGTGTTTATTATAGCTTTAATCATGCCTACATTCTTTCTC